GGGTATGTAATCTTCAAGGGACTTTTTGCATTTGCCCACTGTTCACATACTTTTCATTTTGAAAGAAAGGTCCAGGTTTAGTCACATCCCTTAGCTTCTCTGCTGAAATGATCACTGGTGAAAAGCTCCAGGATGCAAATCACAGGTGCAAGTCAGATAAGACAGTTGAGAAGAGGGAGGTAGATTAAAGGTCTGATACAGTAGAAGGCTGATCCTTATTTTGCTTGGTATACATTCAAAGAGACATACAAATAATTCCATGCCTTCAAGGGAGCTGTGGGCTAGCTTGTGTTTCTCTTATCACATCAGCCACCACTCCTTACCACGACTATGGGACAATCACCCTCCAAAGCCAAAGGACTTTCAAACACAATTTTTGATATTACATGGGTATCACATGTTCAAAGAAAGAAAACACCAACCGGTTGACTTCCAGAAGCCCATGGACACTACTTACAAGCCTCTTTGTATCCCATCTATTATCCTTATCCAACCTGGTGCCTCTATCCCTTTCTGTGCTCAGGAAGTCCCCAGGAATGGATGGAGTAGGGATAACAATGACACCATCCGTCCAGTGTTGATTTTAGGCAAACTTCCCAATGAATGGCAGCTTAGCCCCCTCTTGTCCCCCCTCAAGTTATGCACACAGCTCAGCCTCTAATGCCAGTGTCTAGTTAATCCGGGTTGGGGAAAAAACCCTCTATTGTTATTATTGGAACGTGGGTGGTGCTGTGGTCTGAAACACTGAGCCTCTTGGGCTTGCCGATCAGAAGGTCAGCGGTTCAAATCTGCACAGGATTTGGCAGGAGCTGGGACCTGTTGCTCGGTCCCAGCTCCTGCCAAACTAGCAATTCGAAAGCACACTAGTGCAAGTAGATAAATAGGTACCGCTGCATTGGGAAGGTAAATTGTGTTTCTGTGCACTCTGGTTTCTATAACAGTGTTCCATTGTGCCAGAAGCAGTTTAGTCATGCTGGCCACATGACCCAGAAAGCTGTCTGTGGACAAATGCCGGCTCCCTCGGCCTGAAAGTGAGATGAGCTCCGCAACCCCGTAGTCGCCTTTGACTGGACTTAACAGTCCAGGGGTCCTTTACCTATTGTTATCTCATGCCTTTTCCACTATATTTACAGGATATTTATATTGCCCTTAGATTTTGATGTGCAAAAGTACAAGAGATATTGAAACCATTGGCCAAGAAGCCAAGCAAAGATAGCTCCGTGAGTCCACAGTGATGACAAGATAATTTTCTCAAGACATACAACAACAATATGAGATTATTCTTTTTTCAACACTCAGGCATACCAGATGCACCACTGCATGAAGCAGGCTGATAAGCCTGCTTCTTCTTTTTGTCACTGGCTACAACCTATGAATTGGAGGGTTTCCCCCAATTCATCAGTCTTCAATTGATCCATTACAAAAAGCACGTTTTAATTATTGGGGCAGCTCTTCAAGGCACTGTGTGTTTATTCTCTTTGGTTTAATTTATATTTTGTAATGGTGTTTTTTTTTACTGGTATTTGATGCCATTGTGTTTTAGATGTGTTACTCTTAAACTGTATTTGAAAAATAATAATAAAGATGGGGTTTTCTTCTCAGTTTGTGTTCTTTTGTTCATTACATTGTATAATATTTTACACTGCTTCAAAATCTCAAAAAAGTAGATAGTCTGAGAAACTGTGGCTTCGGGACTGTTGTAGGCCTTAGTTTTGCCATATATATGGCCGGAATCTTTTGATTTCTTCGTTGCTGCCTGCATGCCCTATATGGGACAGCTAATATTTCAGTTTACAAAGCTCCATGTCCTTTTGATTTTAATTTTAAATTTTTATTGGAATTTTATTTACAACATAACACAACCCCCCCCCACCCCCCATTGCACAAATCCACCCTCATTAAATGTTAACATAACATACAGTGAGTATAACATACAACAATACAAACAACCAAATAAAAGACTTCCTTTATCATGTCCTTTTGAATCAAGCTAGACTGAATAAGACACTGAGGAGCTCACTTGGTTAGAGTCACACACAATCCTCTAGGACTACTCTTTCTATCTTTCTATGGGTGAGAGCTACCTATAGAAAATAACTGAGAAATACCTGGCTGGGGAACAGGTATTCACGCCACACACCCCGCCAAGCAGGACAACAGCAAGATCTTGAGATGATACTCTTCGTAACTCAGTTTTTGTTTCACGTGGAAATGTTGATTTATTTATTTTTAATGTTTCTATACATTTAACAGCATGAAGCATTCATAGGGAGCCCAACCCATCTACATGTCACCGAGTGCTGCATTTAGACTGGAAGGGGCAATTTAAGCAGCCTAAGGTAAAGGTAAAGGGACCCCTGACCATTAGGTCCAGTCGTGGCCGACTCTGGGGTTGCGGTACTCATCTCGCTTTACTGGCCGAGGGAGCCGGTGTACAGCTTCCGGGTTATGTGGCCAGCATGACTAAGCCACTTCTGGCGAACCAGAGCAGTGCACGGAAATGCCGTTTACCTTCCCACTGGAGTGGTACCTATTTATCTACTTGCACTTTGACATGCTTTCGAACTGCTAGGTTGGCAGGAGGAGGGACCAAGCAACGGGAGCTCACCCCGTCGTGGGGATTCGAACTGCTGACCTTCTGATTGGCAAGTCGTAGGCTCGGTGGTTTAACCCACAGTGCCACCCACGTCCCTTAAGCAGCCTAGACTTTCCTATAACATGGGAGGTGTTTCAGTGCTTTACAATCACAGTGTCCAGGGCTTCTGCCCTCAAGTGAAGCTGCCACAGTTTGAAAGGGTAAACAAACCAACCCCTGTAATTGTAATTGTTTCTGGCCATCGTGTTGCTTTTGATCTTGTGGACAGTTTGAAAGGGCACAGTGCTCTGATTTGGATTTCATCATAACCTTGGGCACATGAGAATGGCCTCAAGTGATTCCCACTTTCTTTGCTAGGGACCTATGCAAGATTTGACAAGCATGAGGGGTTTCTGTGTTAATTCAGACAACTCGCCCAAAAGATCTGGTGCTACTGGGTTTAGAGACTAGTAGTTCCTGCTCAGAGAACTTTGTGGGAAGTTTGAATTGCAATTATATGCTCGGATCCAGGGGATGTGAGACCCTTTGACAAGTAATCCTGACTCAAGGATGTTCTTTAAGAGGTCACTACAAGAAAGACCTGTAGGTTTGGGGTAATCCAGGTGTTACCATCTGGGGATTGCAATGCTGAAAGGAAAACAAGAAAATAATCAAAATGGCAACTTGGATTGGGGACTGTTTGTGAGCAATTGTGTCTCCTACCAACAGAAGTGAGAACTGTGATGTCCCTGCTGCCTATTAAAATTAAAACCAGTCACTGCTAGCTGATCATAAAACAGTGTTGGCACACTAACAAATGGGAGAGTCCGCTTGGTCAAATGGGAAATGAGTCTTTAAATCTAAACTTTACAATGCAGTAAAATCCAACTGCTTTTCACTAGGGATGGGCAAATCTGGAAATTTTGGGTTCTCACCTTTCCCGGCTTAGTTTTGTTCTCCAAATTTCTATATGTGGTTTTTTAAAAAGGCAACAAGCAGATGGCTTGTGATGCAAAGGACTGTTCAAGATGGTGAGATGAGAGTAAGTGGCAACAGAAAAAAGGCTGAGAAAGCGGAAGGAGGAAGTCAGGATGGAGGACAAAAGAATTGCAGGAAGGGAGTTGGAGAAAAAAGCAGCAGCAGGTGACAAAGATAGAAAGGAGGTACTGAAAGTTATGGAAAGTGAGAAAATGACAGAAAGGATTTTTTAGATAAGCAAATGCAAAGCTAATTGTGATGGTCACTTACCCTCACAAGAAAAATGGTCCCAGAAATCAAAGCGAGGATGCAACCAGTGAAAGGCTTCAAAAGTTTGACCAATAATTCATGAAATATTGGTTCACTTGTATTGGGAAAAGCATCATTCCAATATCCCTGTGTGTGATATGTGGTATATCCTAGTGCTATTAATTTAAAATTAAAAGTGAAAATGTAGAAGTGAGTCCCTTGTTCTGGGTATGGACTGGATGAAGACCACTGTTCTAGAGAGTATTGTCTCTTTGACAACCCCTCAAGTAGAGTTGTGTGCCTGGTTGTTGTTGTTGTTGTTGTTGTTGTTGTTGTTGTTGTTTTATCTTACAACTTGCTGCTACTTCTTCATAATAAAACTCCTAATTAAAACATGATTTTAATATAATTTTAATAGGGCTCACATAACTTCCCAGGGAACTCTTCAGTATTCACCAACAGTATTTAGCCAAATGCCTGAACCCACCTTGAAGCAAAAACTTAACCTGAAATTTCAAACACAAGGAAATAAACAACTATCTGACTTTTAGAAGACATCTGAAGGCAGCCCTGTTCATGGAAGTTTTAATGTTTGATGTTTCATTGTGTTTTTAATATTCTGTTGGAAGCTGCCCAGAGTGGCTGGGGAGGCCTGGCCAAATGGGTGGGGTATAAGTAAATTATTATTATTATTATTATTATTATTATTATTATTATTATTATTATTATTATTTCTCAGTGCAATCACTCAATGCAAGTATCTACCGTATTTTTCGCTCTATAACACGCACCAGACCATAACACGCACATAGTTTTTAGAGGAGGAAAACAAGAAAAAAAATATTCTAAACGAAATAGGGGATATATGATTTCTGTGGTTCATGCTGTGGCCACAGACATGTGATCTGACAGTGAGTTTGGAGTAGCCCAATGCAAAAATCCTGAGGATCCATGTGGATCCATGCTTTGTAACCACGGAGGAGGGAAGGAAGGGGAACCATGGATCCTCTGCTCACGACTGCAGCAGATCCCCCCGCCACCCGCAGGCATTCGCTCCATAACACGCACAGACATTTCCCCTTACTTTCTAGGAGGAAAAAAGTGAGCGTTATGGTGCAAAAAATACGGTAATTAGACATGAATTAGCAAAAATCTGCTCAAGCTTCTGGCTTCTGGACTTATGTTATGTGGAAATTGATCAATAAAAAATATTTAAAAAAGAAAAAAGAGAAGGTTTCTTGGATAGCAGAGGGGAGAGGTCTGCTGGAATCCCAATCCATTCGGGTAAAAACAGTGTTGAGAGATTGAAGGCCTTAAGGTAGTGAGAGTCTGGGAGGGTGTAGTTGGCCAAGTAGACGGTCTCCCCACCAGCCAGGTAGCCGGCCCAGCGGCCAAAAGTGCCAATCGTCATTATTGTGTGGTTGCAATGAACAAGGAGAGCAAAATCCCTCCCTGGAGAGGACTCGCGCCCATCCCCAGAAAAATACACATCCCCCCTGGAGGCATTGATGTTTTCTTTGCACCACTCCATCCCATTGCTGGTCACCACAAAGATGGGATTGGGGTACTTCTCTCTGAAATAGTTCATGGCTTTCTCCAAATAGCCTCTGTCAGCCACCACACCTTTCCAGCTGGGCATCACATGGACATAATCCCCTCTGCGGACATGCACTCCAACATACGTCACCTCCTGGCGCTGCCCCCTTAGCTTCTGAAGATATTGATTGGCTTCTTCCTTGATGTGGTCATGGAAGGAGAACTGCTGAAGTATCTCTTGGCGGATATGGTGATAAAAAGTGTAAGACCATGGGTAGCCCGTCAGTCGGATGTACTTGCCTTTGATGTGTTTATAACTCTCTGACATCCAACTTCGCAGAGGGAAGTCCTTCCAATGGATCTTTTTAGCCACTTCAGCATGGAGCACTGGTAAAGTGATTCGGAACATTGGTGACAGGTACTTGTGCATGGCGGGATAAATACAGGCTTGATGTCCATTCATCTTGGCTAAGGCATAGAGGGTGGCATATTCCCCCATCTGGTTTCCCAAACGGCCATCAGATTTCACTGTCCATATGCCACTATCTATGATCTTACAGGATAACCTGGATGAATTTCCCATCTCTGGGAAATTAGATGCATTCTTGAAGCTGATCCTCCACAGCTGATATGGCATCTTGTCATATAGGTGAAAGAATGCAGAGAGGGACAGGAGACCGAAAAAGTAGAGGAAGAATAAGAGGGCAGGTTGGCTGAAGGAACATCTTTGTGAGAGATGCATAGCTGCACAATAGGAACACCTAAAGGAAGAGCAAAGTGGAGTGAAAAGACAGGTGGTATCTACACACAGATCACAACCACTGATATATGTCAGTGATGACTTGGACTGTGTTGCCACACTTCATATGATACATGTTTATGTGGAAGCAAATCCAATTGACTTCAATGAAACTTACACCTTGGTTCTATTTGAAGTCAAAGTTTCTTTTGGCAACTACACCATTTTACTGATCTGACCCTCTCTGCTTCTGTTAGAGCCAGGACAGGGGCGCCAACTTGTCCCCCCTCATTGAGAGGTTCCCCATCCCCTGCCGCCCCCAGGCAAGTGCTGGCATGTTGGGTGGGGGTGGGACTGTGCTCAGGCCAGGGGTAACCTGTGAAGCGTGGTCCAGGAGCGGTCCGGAATCTGAAGGTTCTGCTAGGCATCAGTCCGACAGGGCCAAGGCAGGACACGAGGCAGGAAACCAGGCAAGGACAGGTACAGCATCTCAGGCAGGATCTGGCATATTGCAATGTTGCTCCCGCAACCTGGGGTGGGGTCCGACAGCCTTTTATCTTTGTCGTAGTAACGGCCGGTCCTGATCCCCCGGCGACTCACCTCCCTGTTTTGCCCAAAGGTGAGCACTCCTCCTGCGAGTACTCAGGTCTCTCCTTCTCTCAGACCTTAGTCTCTGCAGCTGGGGAGATGTCGGTAGGTTACTAGACCCAGGGGCTGCCTCAGCCTCCTCTGACCCAACTGGTAGTGGAGCAGCTTTAAGTGATGGCCTAGCTGAAGGCAATGAGGTAATCTCCGCATCTGGAGCCAGGCAGGCTCAGGACCCTGACTTGGCCCAGCTGGTGTTTGTTGCAGGGGAACCTGTGCAGACTGGAACTCTTCAGGGTCAGGCCCCAGGCTTGGTTCAGATGATGCCTGAGGCAAAGGATACGGTGCAGACTGAGACTTCCCTGGCTCTGGATCTGAGCCCGAGTCCCAGGCCATCACAGGGATGCAGAGGGCGATTTTCATCCTCTGTGCTGCCCGTTGCTGATGGGTGAGCACTGGCCCATTGGGTGGGAGGCCCCCCATCACCACAGGGGGAGCGTTGACATGCCAGGCGGGGCCAGGATGGGTCATGTGATGCCAGGCCCTCTCAATGCGGGGGGTAAGTCAATGCCCCTGTCTTACAGAGGGTCTAATTCGTAAAATGGTGTAGTCATCATAGCATGCATGTACCAGAAAACAACAAGAAGTAAAATAATTTAGACTGAGATCCGCACGTTCCCTCTTTCTTCCTACTCATTTAGCCATCCTACTTACAGGGCATTTTTAATTCATATCTACAGTGGAACCTCGACTTATGTACAGCTCTACTTATGTACGATTCCAGTTACGACCTTCAGTCGGTGCTTCGACTTATGAACTTTCCTCTAGATTCGAGCAGAGGCCTTGCCAACAGCCCAGAGCTCACCCGGCTGGCTGCAGAGCAGCGCTGAGGCCTCTGCTGCCGGGGAGAGGGCCCCCATCCCACCCACAAAGCTTTGGAAGAGGTGCTGCCTGCAAGGGGCACAGCAGGGCGCACTGCAGCCCCAAACCCCACTGAAGAACTAACCTGAGGAAGTCCAGAGAAGAACCTGGCCTGGCAAGAAAAAAAGTGACCCTGGCTGAAGTGAATCAGCCCTTTACTGACCCTTGCCCCACCCCAACTGCCGTTTTAGGGGGTGTTTTACATCGTCTAGAACGGATCGATTCACTTTTCCATTACTTTCTATGGAAAAGTGCGCCTCTACTTATGTACGTTTCTAGTTATGACCTGACCTCCGGAACGGATTATGGTTGTAAGTAGATGTTCCACTAGAGATAATATGTAGCCCCCTAGAACGATACGTATTTAGAATTCCAGCCTTAGAGGCTAGGAGGAACAACTGGAATGGCTGGACTTTGGGGGTGCAATTTATTGGATGGTAATGCGATGTCTCTGTTTCTCAGCTTAACCTGCCAAACAACACTCCATTCTCTATTGTTCAACTTCTCTCGCACCTAGACTTTCCTTCCTTTTGGTCTTTGCGCTCTCTCTCTCTCTCTCTCTCTCTCTCTCACACACACACACACACACACACACACACACAGACAGCAAAGAGATCACCCAGCACTATCCCTCAGCTGCTGATAATTGAAGGATTAAATTGGAGAACTAACCTGCAGTGACTCTCCAAAGGTGTTCTATCAGGTCAGAATTCAGGAAGAGTCAAGCTTTGTTTTCTCTGCCTGTATGGGGGACTGGGAGTTGCGCTCCCTGGATACTGCAATAGTATAAGGAAGGGCCGTGAGTAACTGCTTTACACTGACTGCTGTTAACATAATTTTTACAAGTGAGTTTGACTTCTGTACAGACTCTTCATGAAACCCATGCAGGCCATAATGTGCGGTTGGACTTCAGAACTCCTCATGACTTCCTGCTCGGGTGTTTTCTGTATGCAAATTAAGCAAAAAAAGAAAGAAGTCCATATATTCACTCATCTATTTATACATACACACAAACACACACCTACACCATCCTGCTTCAATAGACCGCAGGACAGTTTAAAGCATAGAACATAATAAACCAGGGGTCCTCAAAGTTTTTGAACAGGGGGCCAGTTCACTGTCCCTGTACATTGTTGGGGGCTGGACTATAGTTTTAAAAAGATGTGAATGAATATTTAACTCACCCACTTTTGATGGTTTGTGGCTGTGGCGTTTGCCCATTCTTTGGGGATACATTTGTATTGGGAGAGAGAAAGGGTTAATAAGTTGACCAATAAGAAAGCCTGGAGGCGGAGCCTACCTGATTTTGAGGCTCAGCCAGAGGTTTTAACAGTTAGTTCGGTTGGTTCTTTGGGGGGAGGGAGATAGAGGAGTCAGAGTGAGTTAGAGACAGGGACAAGACTGAGAGGGAATAGAGTGACAGCGTTTCAAATATATTTTAAAACTTGTTTGTGTTTGAAATAAACTTTAATCTTCATTGTTAAGGCTACCTGACTGAGACTCAGTACTTCACCCGGGAACCCTGGGTTTCCCCCCACAAAATTGGTGGCAGCAGAAGAATAAAGTAGTGGTGTACAGGTCAATAGTCTGTGAAACGACCGGGGGCTCTGTATGAACGCCACAGTGGCCTTCCCATTCCCCGTTCTGTGGCACGAGTGGTTGTGTGTTGCGTTCTGGTGGGTGAGCGAATTTCAGCATCCCCTCACCCAACCCCCAACAATCAAGCAGCCAATGCCGAAAATCGCTCACCCACTGTAATGAAGCGCGAACCCGAGATTGTAAGCGGCGATTGGCTGCTTGGTTGTTGGGGGACGGAGAATGCTGAAAATTGCTCACCTGCCGGAACGCAGCACACAACCACTGGCAGTGAGCGCGAGGAGGAGGAGTTCGAGAGCGACCCTCCCAGGAGGCGCCCAATTGGTCAGCGCTGAAGCCCGTCAGACTTATTGCGGCGCTCGAATTGGCCCTTTCCGCGTTAGACAGCGGCGGGTTCTGCAATGGCCGGGCGGGCCGGGTTCAGGACCCTGGCGGGCCAGATCCCTGTCTCTCACTCAAGGTCCTTCCACCAACCATGTGTGTCTAATCCTTGGACCCCAATAATGACCCACAGCAGAGGACACCAGTGGGGGGGGGAGAAAGAGAAGAAAGGGGGGGACAAAGAAAAGGAGAAGAAAAGGGGATTTCTGATTTTCTGTCTGTCGGTTACATAAAAGAAATTATTCAAAACATTCCTGCTAGGGTGATATCCAACTGTTCTGCTTTCTGTTAAGTAATGTTTTCCCAATCTTCAGACACAAATGTCTCAAATTCATTCCTTTTCCTTTTCACACAAACAGTCCAAAAGGGGTTCTCTAATTAGAATAATTCATAATAAATGTCGGCCATGAAGTACTGCCTCTGGTGTATGTTTCAGATGATTATCTTGTTTTCTGATCTCCATGACACAGCTGAAGATTTCAAGGATATAATTATCGCATTGCAATTTTCTGTTTGTTTCAGCAAGTCTACGCTGAAATGATTTAGTGAATCGGTTAAAAGTAGAAGAGGAAATTGAAGGGTGTAGCAAGCGTTCCTGCTCCTGTAACTCCCAAATCTGTTGCCATTGCTTAGCAGCCTTCTGAGGGCACTAGCTAGCTGATCATAAAACAATGTTTGTACACTAACACCTGGGAGAGTCTGCCTGGTTAAAATGGGAAATTTGAACTTTACAAAGCAGTAAAACCCAACTACTGTTCCCAGTTTATCACTAGGGATGGGCAAATCTGGAAATTTTGGGTTCTCACATTTCCAGTCTTAGTTTGGTTCTCCAAATTTCTGTAAGTGGTTTTTTAAAAAGGCAACAGGCTTGTGATACAAAGGACTGCTCAAGAGGGTGAGATGAGAATAAGTGGCAATGGAAGAAAGGCTGAGAAGAAGAAGGAAGTCAGGATGGAGGACAAACGAATTGCAGGAAGGGAGTTGGAGAAAAAAGCACCAGCAGGTGACAAAGATAGAAAGGAGGTACTGAAAGTTATGGAAAGTGAGAAAATGACAGAAAGGATTTTTTAGATAAGAAAATGCAAAGCTAATGGTGGTGGTCACTTGCCCTCACAAGAGAAATGGTCCCAGAAATCAAAGTGAGGATGCAACCAGTGAAAGGCTTCAAATTGGTTCACTTGTATTGGGAAAAACATCATGCCAATATCCCTGTGTGTGGTATGAGGTATATCCTAGTGTTATTAATTTTAAATTAAAAGTGAAAATGTAGAAGTGAGTCCCTTGTTCTGGGTCTGGACTGGATGAAGACCACTGTTCTAGAGATTATTGTCTCTTTGACAACCCCTCAAGTAGAGTTGTGTGCCTGGTTGTTGTTGTTTTCTTTTACATCTTGCTGCTACTTCTTTGTAATAAGACTCCTAATTAAAATATAATTTTAATATAATTTTAATAGGGCTTGCATAACTTCTCAGGGAACTCCTCAGCAGGGTTGAATTTATGTTTGATGAGGCCCTAAGCTACTGAAGGTAATGGGGCCCATTATATGTCCAGCTGTCCTTTGTCAACAACAAATTGCCACTGTTTTTTGGTGTTCAATGTATGCTTTATGGTAATTTATGGACCTAATAGATATCTAAAGACATTTCCACATAACAAATAGGAGCCTACACAACACAATACACTGTTGCTGTATGTAGGTTTTATTTTATTTGTTTTTTATTCTATATTTTGGAAATGTACATCCAGGTGTTTTTTTCCATTTAATTTTTTGGGGGCCCGCAAGAGATTGTAGCACTAAGCTATAGTTTGTTTAGTTTATACGTAAATCCAGCACTGCTCTTCAGTATTCGCCTACAATATTTAGCCACATGCCTGAACACAGAGTATCTAATTAGACTTGAATCAGCAGCTATCTGCTCAAGCTTCTGGCTTCTGGACTTGAGAAGGTTTCTTAGACAGCAGAGGGGAGAGGTCTGCTGGAATCCCAATCCATTCAGGCAAAAAAATTGCTGAGAGATTGAAGACCTTAAGGTAGCGAGAGTCTGGGAGGGTGTAGTTGGCCAAGTAGATGGTCTCCCCACCAGCCAGGTAGCCAGCCCAGCGGCCAAAAGTGCCAATTGTCATTATTGTGTGGTTGCAATGAGCAAGGAGAGCAAAATCCCTCCCTGGAGAGGACTCGCGCCCATCCCCAGAAAAATAAACATCCCCCCTGGAGGCATTGATGTTTTCCTTGCACCACTCCATCCCATTGCTGGTCACCACAAAGATGGGATTGGGGTACTTCTCTCTGAAATAGTTCATGGCTTTCTCCAAATAGCCTCTGTCAGCCACCACACCTTTCCAGCTGGGCATCACATGGACATAATCCCCTCTGCGGACATGCACTCCAACATACGTCACCTCCTGGCGCTGCCCCCTTAGCTTCTGAAGATATTGATTGGCTTCTTCCTTGATGTGGTCATGGAAGGAGAACTGCTGAAGTATCTCTTGGCGGATATGGTGATAAAAAGTGTAAGACCATGGGTAGCCCGTCAGCCGGACGTATTTGCCTTTGATGTGTTTATAACTCTCTGACATCCAACTTCGCAGAGGGAAGTCCTTCCAATGGATCTTTTTATCCACTTCAGCATGGAGCACTGGTAAAGTGATTCGGAACATTGGTGACAGGTACTGGTGCATGGCGGGACAGATGTAGGCTTGATGTCCATTCATCTTGGCTAAGGCATAGAGGGTGGCATATTCCCCCATCTGGTTTCCCAAACGGCCATCAGATTTCACTGTCCATATGCCACTATCTATGATCTTAGAGGATGACCTGGAAGAATTACAGGTGGTGTTGGTGGTAATGAGGGAAGCAGGTTGTCCCCTCCCAGGGAAATTGGATGTATTCTTGACGCTGATCCTCAGCAGCTGATATGGCATCTTGACATACAGATGCAACAATGTAGAGAGGGACAGGAGGCCAAGGAAGTAGAGGAAGAATAAGATGGCACGTTGGCTGAAGGTACATCTTTGTGAGAGATCCATAGGTGCACAATAGGAACACCTAAAGGAAGTGCAAAGTAGACTGAAAAGACAGGTGGTATCTACACGCAGATCACAACCACGATATATGTCAGTGGTGACTTGGACTGTGTTGCCACACTTCATATGATACATGTCTATGTGGAAGCAAATTCTGCTGACTTCAATGAAACTTACTTCTTGGTTCTATCTGAAGTCAAAGTTTGTTTTTAGAGAAAGTGATAACAATACCTTTTTTGGCAACCACACTATTTTACTGATATGACCTTCTCTGCCTCTGTTGGAGGCAGGACAGGGGCGCAGACGTCGTCCCCCCGCCAATGAGGGGGCTACCATCCCCCACTGCCCCCGAGTGAGTGCTGGTATGTTGGGTCGGGGTGGGACATGCAGAGGGTGATTTTCATCCTCTGCGCTCCCCATTGCTTATGAGCGAGTGCTGGCCCACTGGGCAGGAGGCTTGGAGGCTGAAGATCACCCCCCCCACACCTTCACCAGCCCCGCAACCACCACAGGGGGAGCATTGGCATGCCAGGCGGGGCCCCCCTCAATGTGGGGGATAAGTCGGTGCCCCTGACTTACCTCTAACAGAGGGTCAAATTAGTAAAATGGTGTCAGCATGCCATGCATGTACCAGAGAACAAGAAGAAGTGAAATAATTTAGATTGAGATCCGCACGTTCCCTCTTTCTTCCTAGTCATTTAGCCATCTTACTTACAGGGTGATTTTAATTCATATCTAGTTAATATGTAGCCTCCTAGAAGGATACGTATTTAGAATTCCAGCCTTAGAGGCTAGGAGGAACAACTGCAGTG